GGAACTGGTTACAGTGTTTATCCTGATGGGATTTCAGGCTCTTGGTGTATTGGGAAAATTCTGCCTCAATCGTTACTGATAAAGGAAGCTTTATAGTTAGTTATTAGAAGATCGCCCAGGAAGAACGGAAATAGATTGATGGGATTCTGTATAGCACACTGCTGCTGTCCGTTCTTTACGGCTTCCTGTAAGAGTCATCATTTTTATACACTAATCTTCTAAGCAGCCATTCGGTGGGAACTGGGCTAGAACTTTGCTAAGGGGTCACATCTACCAACCTGACAGTTATACCTTTAACAAAGGAACTAGCATGAATTTATTCAGCATCAAACCTCTGCATCTTTTACCACCCAGCTGCATTTCACACCATATTACCATCTACCACCCCTGTGCTATAATGGCTCTGTCAATTCATCCAGATTCTTGATTTAATTAGCATTCTTTGAGCAAAAAGAAAAGTGGTGCTTTTGAAAATATATTTATTTTTAAATTTTTATTGTTGAAAACAATATGTCCCCTTCCCCCCACTCTCACCCACATTGTCCCCTTCCAGCCCTCCACCACCCTATTGTCTGTGTTGATGCATACAAGTTCTTTGGTGGATCTCTTCCCACCCAGTCTGTTCTATGCTTCTGTGTCTGGATCTCTTCTTGTTCAACCATTTGTTTTGTTCCTAATTTCCACATCTGAGAGAGGTCATGTGACACTTGCCTTTCTCTGACTGGCTTGTTTTGCTTAGCATACTGTGCTGTTTTATGGAGGAACAAAAGCTGCAGGGAGTGAATGTGAAGACAGATCAACAAGTTACTTTCTCTTTGGAGAATGATCTATCCTCCTTTTTCTCTTCAGTGAGATATATATTTTTCTAGCTTGATTGAATGGAAAATGGGGGCCGATATAACCACCTCAAAGGTTTCTGAGTAGATTATAATGGCCACCTTTTAAATTCATGTAGAATTGGGCACTGATGATGCTGTCATCTGCAAATGATTTTTGGGGCGGTATCATGGCATAGTAGCTAAGAGCATGAGAGCATGAACTTTGTATTATAACTAGACTGCCTGGGTTCAGATCCTGGCTCAGCCACTTACTACATTTGTGATTCTGAGCAAGTCACTTCACTTTTCTGTGCTTCAATTTCCTGTCCATTAAGTGAAGATAATAACTGACATACATCACACAGCAGCATGCAGATTAACTGAGTTGATCTTTGGGGAACACTTAGTGTAGTGCCAGCCATTACCCTTAGCTTTTACCGCCTGTACTCACGGCAACAGTGTGACGTGAAGTTGACTCAGCTGCAGCACTGGCAACTCCTGATCACCTGGGCTGAACTAGCTAGGTGTGACCGACGTGGCTAGATAAATCCCCCTTTCCGCAGATACTTCTTTTTAAAAGTACTCTTTTATTGTAAGACAGTTACTTTACAAAATAAGAAAATAAGGTTTTGTGAATCAAGAGTACAGTAGGCGGTATGTTGGCCACATCTCTTTATCCTGCACCTGCTGCCATCTCTAGCTTCCAGAGCACTGTGTTCTCGTCTCACTTTCTGCTCAGAGGGTATCAAGACTTCCCCAGATAGAAGTTCTTATGGAAAGCACCACGATGGCAGCAGAGTAGGTGGGTGTTACACTCCACTCCTCCCAGGACCAAACCAGAATTATAACTAAAATATAGAGCAATCAACCTGAATAACCAAATGGATGATGAGCTGGAGAGATCTTATAACCAAGGATTTATGGCACCACATGGAGACTGGTAGGAAGAGCAAAGACAGGAAAAGAGCTGGCCCCACTCCCACTGGTGGCAGCTGAGATTCCAGAGGGATATTGCATCTGCAAAGGCTCCCTCTGAGAGGCATGGAGTCTCAATCCCAAGCCAGGCTCCCCAGCCCAGAGCACTAGAGCCAGGAAAAGGCACTCATCTGGCTGTGAAAATCAGAGATTCTGTCTGCCAGGGAGAGACAGAAGTCAATTAGGCACAGGTGCCCTCTTAAAGGGCCAATGCACAGTCTAATTTGCAGACACCCACCCTGGGCTTTTTCGGAGGGAGGGTAGATTAGTCTAGAGTTGTGTGAAGAGAGACTGGGGCTTGTGACTCTGGGGGAGAGAGCTGAAGGAGCAGCCACCAGGTTCCCTGAGCCCAGTTCCTCTCCCACACTGCAGATGCCATCTTTCGTGGGTGGAGCATTCCCCTCTCTGCAGCATCAGCCTAGTGGAAAGCAGTAGCCCATCCACTGGACTTTCTGCAGAACTTGCACCTAGCTGAGGAGTCAGCTGCCTGGGTCAGGGTACAGAGATCTGCCAGACTTGGCGGGGACTGTAAGCGGGTGTCAGTGACTGAGTTGTGTGCATCATAGGGGTACTAGAAGGAGAAGAGAGAGCAAGGGATGGAGAACCTATTTGAAGAAATAATGACTGAAAACTTCCCTAATCTGGTGAAGGAAAAGAAAAAAAAAGCAAGTTCAGGAAGTGTAGGAAGTCAAATATGATGAACCCAAAGAGACTCATACCAAGACACATCATAATTAAAATGCCAAAGGTTAAAGACAAAGACAGAGTCTTAAAAGCAGCAAGAGAAAGACAAATGCTTATCTACAAGGGAACTTCCATAAGACTCATGATTTCTCAACAGAAACAATACAGGCCAAAGGGACTGGCATGAAGTATTTAAGGTGATGAAAGACTACTTGACCCAGCGAGGCTATCATTTAAAATTTAAGGAGAGAAATAAAGAGCTTCCCGGACAAAAAGGTAAATGAGTTTGTTAACCACCAAGCCAGCATTATAGGAAACTAGAAGCCCAATGCATGAAATACATGCAAGAGTAGGCCTTCCTTCCCCGGCTGCCAGCACTGGCTTCCCTCTGGCAACCAGGACCCGGGCTTCCTCCAGCTGCTGGCAGGCACCCAGGACCTGATCTTTCCTCTGGCCACCACAGGCACCCGGGACCCAGACTTCCCTCACAGCCCTGGCTTTATCCAGAAGGTCATTCGGTCTTATTAGCATATTATGCTTTTATTATTATAGATGTTTAAGCACCTTTTAAAAGAAGAAGAAAAAGACCCAGAGGAGCATAGTTAAAAGAATAAAATGGCAATAAATAAATACCTATCAATAATCATTTCAAATGTAAATGAATTAAATACTCCAATCAGAAGAAGAAAATAAGACCCATATATATTCTGTCTATAGGAGACTCACCTCAGATCAAAAGATACACAGACTAAAAGTAAAGGGATGGGAAAAGAGATTTTATGCAAGGCATAATCCAGTCTCCGGGCCTTTGCACAAATTGCTCCTTTTGCCTAGTAGGCTCCCCCTTGGGAAATCTTCGTGGCTCCACTCATCCTGCAGATCTCTCATCAGATGGCTTCTCAATGAGATCTTCGCTGGTACTCTCTATTTACTATCTCCCCAAACTCCAGTGTAAATTCTGAGGGGCAGAAGAGAGGATTTTTTTTTGGTCTATTTTATTCTGTGCTCTATCCTCAGTACCTAAAACAGAACTTGACATGAAGTAAGTTCTTAATAAATACATCTTGAATGTATGAATGAAAATTTGATCCTTAAAAACATATCCATATTCCCAGTCCTCCTCTCACTTCAGTCATATTTAGGCTCAAACAAAATCAGCATCCTGTAATATAATAGCTCCGAGAACATTAAAGTAGCCATGGCAATTGGAGCAGAAAAAATTCCATTGCAGAGGAAAGAGATTTGTGCATCAAGTAAAGAAAAAGAAATGATTTACAGTATAGGACCTGCCATGTTAAATTAGAACGGTGCCCTGGGGTGGACGGTTGTGGACCCAGCACCAAGCCATATTTTGAGAGAGCAAGTGGTTGGCTACCCCCTTCTCTTCCTAAGGTGCAGAATGGAGCTAATCCATAGTGTTGTTTGTGTTTGCTTTATTTTTTTTTTATCATCCAGTGGCACAGTAAAATGGTGAACTGAGTCAGGCAGACGGCAGGTTTAAATTCTGGCTTTCCTCTGTGTCCTTGGATTATATAACCTCCCTGAGCCTCTGATTCATTATGGATAAAATGATTTTTTAACTACTAAATCCTTTCTCCCAGTACTGTTATAAAAGTCAAATGAGAGAAGACCCATGAATCACCGGAGACATAACATGTTTAATAAATGTCTTCTGAGCATGACCTCCTATTGAAATAACTATATTTTGCTACTGAATTCTACAGTTTGGCTTAAATCGAAAAAAAGAGAAGTAGCGTTAGGCTGGTGTCTAGGAGTAGACTTCGGCTCCTGGGGCATGAACCCCAGAGAAGCCCCCCGCACTGCAGACCTCTCAGCAGTATCTGATGAAGCTCCAGGAACTTTCCAAAAATGAGCCTCACCGTGGACTGGAGTTTTCTGGAAGCTTACTCTTATTACCTTTTGAACCAGTTCTTATTCTCCTACTTGTCATTTTCAGTTCTCCTCTGCTTCCCTTACTTTTTAATTTTTTTAAAAATATATTTCATTGATTTTTTACAGAGAGGAAAGGAGAGAGATAGAGAGCCAGAAACATCCATGAGAGAGAAACATCGACCAGCCGCCTCCTGCACACCCCCAACCGGGGATGTGCCCGCAACCAATGTACATGCCCTTGACCAGAATCAAACCCGGGACCTTCCAGTCCGCAGACCGACGCTCTACCACTGAGCCAAACCGGTTTCGGCTGCTTCCCTTACTTTCAAAACGTTGTACTACGCATGGGAATTTGGAGGTCCCATCCTGAAAATCATCTCAGAAGCCAACAAAGGAAACACAAGATCAGGCAGCTACTCTGCATCATAAAATAGCATGAATATTAATTTTCAAATTGAGATGTGGGGATCATGTACATATTAAGTTTTAGAATGATAAGTTCCAGAGAGAGGAAATATTCTGTTTTAAACCACTCAGCTAATTTTACGTGTGTGTGTGTGTGTGTGTGTGTGTGTGTGTGTGTTGTTGTTGTTGTTGTTTTTCCAATGACGTCCACCTTGAAACCTTGAGGAAGCCAAAGCGGTCATTGAAGAAACCAGAGCCCTGCGCAGCCGGATTCACCTCGCCGAAGCGGCGCAGAGGCAGGCGCGCGGCATGGAAACGGACTACGAAGAAGTGATCCGCCTGCTCGAGGCCGAGATCACGGAGCTGAAGGCTCAGCTTGCTGATTATTCTGACCAAAATAAAGTAAGCAAAGCGCTCCCCTCTTCTGGTTACCATGGTTCCCCTGCCGTAGTCATGTATCCTGTTTTCATTTTCTTTTCTTCCGCACTTCTAAACTAGGTCAGTGTTTGTCTTCTCTTGTTCAGCCACGGGGTGATGTGTCCTGATGGGGCAGCGTGAATGCTGTCAGCCTCCCCTTGTTCAGATAGCTTCCTTTGTTCGGGTCCTTGGTCAGCACCGCATACACAGCCCAGGCATCCTGGAATTATTGAACATTTAACTGATGGCATTGTTTTTATTCCTTTGTTTCTCAGCTTGCCAATTTGCCTTGTGGGGATGGGAGGAGAAAGTCTAGTGGTCGGTTTTGGCTTTTTGATGAAGGCATTTCAGGAAGTGTGAAAGTTAAGCAATTTTGCCTCTAAGGCCCAAGATAGTTAAGAGGAAAAAAACTGTGTTTGAATTTAGTAACCACTTTCCTGAATTTAGTGTTTAACCATTTTCTTGATTACTTTACAGCCCATGTATGTATATATCCCTTAAAATTGCTGTTTAGTTTTGTCTGTTTATCACTTTTACATAAATAGGAAATGCATTGTATTTGTTATTCCGCCTTGCTTTTTTCACTCAACATGTTTTTTTGATTCATCTGTTTAAAGATTATAGCAGGTTTGTCTTCTCATTGTTTTGCTTGTACACCATTGAATGGATATACAACAGTGTTTTTATCCATTCTGTATTTGAGGTACTGCCCAATTGTTTCTGTTTTCCCTATTATGAATAATGTCACAAAGAACATTCTTGAGTAGGTATAGAGATAGAGATATGGATATAGATATAGAAATCCTGCTCTACATGTGTAACAGTTTTTCTTCTGTTCATAGCAGAATGGTTAGGTTGAATAAAGAGTGTACAGTCAACTTTACTAGGTGATGCCCAATTGTATTTAAAAGCGTTTGAACCAGTTTTTACTCCCACCGGTTGAATGGGAATTACCGTTTACTCCCCATCCCTGCTGACACTTTGTTTTTCTTTGCTTTTAATTTTTATCAGTCTGTCAGGTGTGATCATTGATTGTAGTGGGTTAATTTGCATTTCCCTGGTTACTAATGACATTAAGCTCCTGATGTATATGCTGGGATCAGCTGGCACTGGCTCAGGAGAGCTGATTGTGTACATCTCTTCTCACCTCCAAAGTTAGTGATATCAGGTTGGTGGCTTGAAAACAGCCGTGTCTGAGTTATTTATACCCAAAAGCTATAATCCAGGGCTTTGCCCACAGCCCTAGATAGCCAGTGCTCTGCTTATGTATTTATTAGGCATTTGTGTTCCTATGTGAAATGGCTCTTCATATCTTCTAGCCATTTTTCCACTTAGTTGTCTTTTTCATATTGACATGTAATGATATGTTCTGATTATTAGACCTATAATGTATTATCCTATACTCGAGGCTCAGTGCATGAAAATTCATGCACTTGGGGGAAGGGGTTCCTCAGCCTGGCCTGGGCTCTCTCGCAGCCCAGGATCCCCTGGGGCGTGGGCCTAAGCTGGCAGGTGGACATCCCCCAAGGGCTCCTGGACTGCTAAAGGGTGCAAGCCAGGCTGAGGGACCCTCTTTCAACCCTCCCCCAGCCTCTCCCCAGTGCACGAATGTCATGCACCGGACCTCTAATATGTTGCAAAATCTTCTGGTTTTATGGCTGCTTTTATACCCTTTGGTGAATGAACAGATGTAATTAAACTTAACAGTCTCCCCCTCATGTGTCTTTTTAGAAGTCCTTCCACTCCCAAAGATGTAAAGATATTGCTTTATATTTGCCTCTAAAAGTTTTAAAGTTTGACCCTTCTGTATTTGGTTTTATGGCATTGTAAGAGATTGGGACCCATTTTATTCTTTCTTCTAAATGAATAATCAACCATGCCAAACCATTTACTCAAATGCCTCTTCTTTCCTAATTGGCCTACAACATCAGCTGTCATATGTCAAGATTTCACATGTGTGGATCTTTTGGAGGGTTCTCTATATTCTATATTATTGGTCTTTTTTTATATTTCTGTGCAAGTAATACACTGTATTATTACTAAGATCTTTTACAGTAAATCTTGATATATACTCAACCTTCCTAGTTGTTGTTTTTTTAAGTATGTTAGCTACATGACACTGATCTTTTATATGTAGGTCCAATTTATAAATGCTACCAAAAAATAGCCTTTTTACTGAAAGTGCATTAAGTGTATAGATTAAATTTGGGGATAATGTACATAGTTTTGACTGAATCACAGAAAGGTTAATTGCATTGAGCCAGAGAATCTAGCCTGAAGAATAACAACACAAAATGTTGGTGGTTGCCTTATGACTTACTATATGGGCAGTTTAGAAATGTTCAAAGGAAGCTTGAAAAACATTCTGCAGTTGTTTGATGTAGTTGTTTTATTTTAGACCAGTAGATCAGAGTCATTAATTGTGGGGTTCAATTGTTCTCTAGTCATATCCATTTTTCAGGGAAGTATGTTAAAATCACACTCACAAGGAGCTTGTGATTAATGTACTTTATATATTTTGATGTAATGCTTTTAGTTACATACAAGGTTGGAATTATGTTATCCTTTTATGAAAATGCTGTGATTCTTTAGTAATCTCACCATCTTAGTGCTTGTTTTTGATTGATATTAAAATAGTTACACTGACTTTCTTTTGATTAGTATTTACCTATGTATTTTTTCCATCCTTTTACTTTCAACTTATCAATGTCCCTATATTTTAATTGTGTCCATGTTAAATAACATGTAGCTGAATCCCTCCCCCATGTTTTAATAACTTTTTAATCTTTAACTGAAAATATTGTTTCAATTATATTCTTTTATTTGCTAATGCACTTGGCTTCATCTCCACCCTCTTAATTTGGGCATTTTAATTGTCTCGTGTTCTCTTCTTGTTTTTCATTTGTAGTCTTCTTATCTGCCCCGCACCCCCCCCCCTTCCCTCTCTCTTTCCTTCTTTTCCTCCTCCACCTCCTTTTTTTTTTTTTTTTTTTAATTGGTTCACATTTCTCCTGTGTTCTCCAACTCCTATTCCATTTTTCCCTTTGCTGGTTCACAAGATACATACTCTTTTTCTAATTTATAATGATTAGTTAAGAAATTTTAACATTCTATTTCAACTTAAGTTATATAAAACTAATCACTAGCTTTCCCTCTTCTTCTAAAAGTACTTTAGAACAAATTCAATCCTACTTCATTTCTATTGTCACTATTTTAGTTTTTCTTGACTTTTAATACCATAACTTAGACATGATTGCTACCTTTGTTTAGTAGACCGCCATGCTTACCATTTTCTATGTGCAACAGTCTTTCTTTCTTAGACCTTCTTGCTAGAATTATTTTCTTTCTTTCTGAAGTGCAGCTTTTAGAAATTTGTCCAGTGAGGATCTATTGGTAATAAACTCTCTCCATTTTTGTTTGCCTGGGATTTTTTCAGTGTTTTTACTCCATGGTTACAGTAATCATCAACCAGTCATTTGTTTGAAATCTATTGTTTTTTGTAGATGATTTTAAGATCTCTTTATCATCAGTGTTCAGCAGTTTGACTATGAAGAGTCATGTATTGACTTAATTATTTATATTCATTGAATTTCCTGAAGAAAAATTTCCTTTACCATTTTTTTAAAACCATAAGTGTTATTCTCAGCTATTTTTTTGTTCATTCTTTTAGGTCTTTCTTGTGTAATTTAGGTTGAATGTATGCAAAGTCTTCTTTTCTCCTTACCTCTTCTCTTTCTTTTATGTTTTCCATTTTTATCTTTCTGCTTCATTATAAAGATCTTTACCTCTGCCTTCCAGCTTACCCATGCTCTTTTCTACTGTAGCTAATTGGATAGTAAGCTCATAAATTGACCTTCTAATTTAATTATGGTTACATTTTTATTTTTTAAGATTGATTTTTTATATCATTGGATCTATTTTTATAGTAATTTAACCCTTTATTTTCCTTTTAATTTCTTCTTAAGTTTTAAAAAATAGTATTACTTTATATTCTAATATCTGATTACTCTAGTGTCTATCGTCTTTATAGGACTTCCCTTGTAATTTGTTTTCTTCGATGAACTTTTCATTTATGGTAGCTTATTTCTGAGGCCAGGTTCTTTTGATACAATGTCTGTGAGAATTACTGAAGATTCCAGTGTAGAAAATGGCCCTGCAGAGAAGTTTTGTGTTTTGTTCTACCAGCTTGGGACCCATTTAAACTAAATTTTCAGCCTATGCATTTACGCAGTATAAATTCTGACCTTAAATCTGCTTGTGGGTAGTACTTATTCAAGGGATACTTGATAAAATCTGCTCACCAGAGCCAAAGTCAAAACTCTGTTCACCTTGAGTTTGTGTCTTCCTAGTTCACCCATGAGAGCTCTCCCACCTGCCATATGTGCCTGATGGAACCCCACGCTGCAGGCCACCAGAGCCCAGCATGTGCCCTCAGAGCAAATGACGCTGCAGTCACTCTCACTCCAGCCTTCACTCGGCACTGCTGCTTGTCCGCATGGAAGGCCCGCGCTGCCCACGGAACCCCTTCCCTCCCTGCCCGCTCAGCTTCATATTGGCTTGTGTAATATTAAACACAGGCGTATGTCTTCAGAAGTTTTACCTTTGTCACACTGGTAGGGTTTCTGTCAGCAAAACCAAACAACACTGTAAACTAATTTAAGTGTCATTCATTATAGGAAGTCATGAAGTTACATGAAGCTTATCTCATCCAGTGTGCAGCACCCGTGTGCAGTTTAACTGTTAAACGGGCCATTGTTTTTAAGTGCTGCCCCAAATAATAAAGAGAAAATAAACGATACGGCAGCGTCGGGTGCTAGTTCACGGGAGCTAAAGCAGGAGCTGCACCTGTGCAGCGGAAGAAGGGCGTAAGACCACGTTTTCTGCTCTCTCCCCACCAGGGAAGTGTTCAGGAGTTAAGAAAGAGAATCACGGTGCTTGACTGCCAATTGAGGAAATCAGAAGTGGCTCGAAAAACCTTCGAGGCATCCACTGAAAAGCTACTTCATTTTGTAGAGGTAAATATTCCTATTACATTACTCTATGTCCATTTTTAAGAAATGGACAGGCATCGAAACCAGTTTGGCTCAATGGATAGAGCGTCTGCCTGTGGACTGAAAGGTCCCAGGTTGGATTCTGGTCAGGAGCACATACCTTGGTTGCGGGCATATCCCCAGTGGGGGGTGTGCAGGAGGCGGCTGGTCGATGTTTCTCTCTCATCGACGTTTCTAACTCTCTATCCCTCTCAATTTCTCTCTGTGTAAAATCAATAAAATATATTAAAAAAAAGAAAAAAATGGACAGGCAACTAAGCTATATAGATAAATATCAGTGTTCAGTGGCTGGTGAAGCAGTCTCTGTGGGCCAAAACAGCAATATTAACTTAGAGTCAGATTTAAATTGCCTAGATAATGAAAAGACCAGCTAGCATACAGGTTATTAAGAGGCATTATTAAGACAGGGTAACATGATCCCAAATGTATACTGTTTGTTAATGAATACTTTCCTAAGAAAACTCTTGATGTTCTATAAACATTATTAGATAAACATTTACTAGTTATAAAGAAATATTCTATGGTTATATTTCGAAGTAGAATTACATAATATTGTAATTGATTCCCCCCCCCCCAACACCACAAAATAAAAATATCTTTTTAAAAATATATTTTTTTTTATTGAATTCAGAGAGGAAAGGAGAGGGAGAGAGAGATAGAAACATCAAATGATGACAGAGAACCATTTATCAGCTGCCTCTTGCTCACCCCCTATTGAGTATTGAGCCCACAACCAGGGCCTGTGCCCTTGTCTAGAATCAAACTGAGATGCTTCATACTGCAGGCCGATATTCTATCCACTGAGCCAAAGTAGCTGGGGCAGAAGTACCCTTTTAATCAATTGAGGCGGAGGGAAGAGGTGATAAATATTAATAAAGCAAGAAAAGACATTTTAAAAACTATCAAACTTACAGATCTTCTTCGCTATTTTGTTTGTTGACAGGCTATTCAAGAAGTATTTTCTGATAATTATGCTCCATTATCAACTTTAAGGTAAGAATATTTTGAGTGCTTCCTATAGAGTACGGCTCCTAACTACCTTTTCATCTGGTAATTGGGACTAAATACAAAAGTCTCATAGGTTTAAGATGTTATGTAACTCCTATTCTCTACTATTCTTTAATGTCTTATGGAAATAGATATAAGGATTTGTCATTGTTGATCTCATCTCTGTGAAAGGAATTCCTGGAGATATTTAGCAAATCATTGTATCATCATACTTTAAAGCTGAATTTTGTAAAGAAATTAAGCATCCTATGTATGAATAAAAAATACTATCCTAGTCACTGCTAAAGGTAACTCTGATCCAGCATATTAGTTGTTATGGCAAACAGAAGTTTATCAAGCATGCTCATGCTATCCATTTCTTGCATTTTCAGCATTCAGTAGACATGAATTAAAAATAGATACTAGTATTTGGAGAATACACCTTGATTTTGTTATTATTCACAGTTGGTTCCTAATATAAAGTTTCTTACTAGGAGCTACCATCATACTAATAACATTTATTTATTTCAAACTGTAAGTTTATGGCCATTTCAATACATGATGCAAAAGAAAGATTTTTTTTTCTCCTCATCTTATAGTAGCTGACACTAGCATTCAACTTCTAGCAATGTGTGCTTACAGAAACATAGGCAGATTCTACCTTATCCTATGAAAAAAGCAGTTTCCTGAGTAAAGATGATTCACTATATTCTTATTATATTTTAGGTTTCCACAGCATTTTTTTGAATTTAGAAATCCTATAGTAGTACACTTTTAAACTCATTTTATTGTAATGTTTTATTTCTTCTGATGAAGGAATTTAACATTTTTAGTTGTAACCCATGCTGCTTATGATTTAAGATAATTGTGAATTCCATGATAATTATTTTTAGTAAGGATGTTAAAATACTCAGCAATCACATTCCCCTTGTAGGTGTGCCCTCTATCTGCACCCCCACAGTCTCATTGTGACCCTGAATAATAATTCAGTCTTCCCTTGCCTTAATCTAGTTCATGAAAAAAAGATAAATTTTAAAAGTAACAATAAATAAACTTTCACCATGTCTTGCAAAGTTAGATACTAAAAAATTTGGTTCAGTCTTTTTTTATTGTTGTTGTTGTTTTTGTTGTTAGGGGAGTTCTAAGAGGAGGATCTCAATAGAATATTCATCAGCTTTTTGTTTTTAAGGAATTTTAAAAATTGATTTCTGAGAAGGAGAGATGGGAGGGGGGAAGAGAGAGAGAGAGAAACATCAATGATGAGAGAGAATCATTGATCAGCTGCGTCATGCATGCCCCCTATTGGAGATTGAGCCCACAACCCAGGCATGTACCCTGACCGGGAATTGAACCATTACTTCCTGGTTCATAGGTCATTGCTTATCCATGGAGCCACACCAGCTGGGTCAGTCTTTTTAATATACTATATCTTTGTGGTGGATATTTTTCTTGGTCATTCAACACAAATTAAAGGTTCTGTATTTGAATTTAATAATTGATGCTTTAGTCTTTCCTTGTTAATTAATCCCATTATGCTTAAGAATTATGCTTAGCATAATGGCTTTTTTGCAGTAAACAAATCCTTGCATTTTAAATTATATCTAAATGCATTTATTTCAGGTGCCATTTGCATTTTTTTAAGTAACCTAAGTGCTCTAGGCTGTTAGATTTAGGAGCAACAAATGGAAGTGCTTAAGAGATAATTTCACGAGTAATATATACATATTGAAGTTATAGTTAATATTATAATCAGCAACAGTAGATACATGTTTAATAAATTTATGTTTATGAGCATAACTTGAATTTTTACAAAATTAGCATAATATAAGCACTCACTAAAAAGCCCAACAAATTATTTAGAAGGTGGGCCATCCTTCTATGCCTTTTTTTAACATATGCCTACTTATTACACAGTCAAGAATTAAAAACAGAAGTAATGTTTTCTGTGAATTACTTCATTTATGGCTATAAGAAGACAATGTTCCCAGATGTGGAAATATTTCTGTACAAAAACTAATACGAATTCAGATTTAGCAAAGATAGATGCTATCTATTGTGTGATGACTTTTCGCTGTACGGCCCTCACAGTGAAAGAAGAGCCTTGTTAGCCTCTCAGACTTCCCTCACATCGCTGGGCAGGAATGGCCGCAACATCCCAGCCTCGCTGGCCCTGGAGTCTAAGGAACTCGTTAGATCCGTTCGTGCCGTACTCGATATGGACTGTAAGTTTTCAAGTTGTTTTCACTTTTTAAAATTAATTGATTTCACAAAACAAAAGAAGATTTCATGTTTGACAGTTGGATGTGTTGAAGGGTTAGTTTGGCTACAGTAACCTTGATAGTTAAGTGGGGAAAATGTTAATGCGCTAGTTCCAGGGGGAGAGTGTTTGTTTTACTTACACTGCCCAGAATGGCTTCCAACAGAAGATAGCTGATTAAGATATGTCTTTACTTCCATCCAAAGTCTCTTTGATGTGGAAGAATAAGCATAAGAATAGATCCTGACAGCACTGGAAACCTGGAAGGGTGGAGTCGACATGGAGGAATTTTTGAACAATATGAATAGATGGATCCTTGACTGGCGCAGCTCAGTTGGTTGGAGTACCATTTCGCACACCAAAAGGTTGTGGGTTCTTTTCCCTGTCAGGGCATGTGTCCAGGTGGGGTCTGATCCCTGCTTGGAGTGCATATGGGAGGCCACCAATCAATGTTTCTCTCTCACATGGATGGTTCTCTCTTTCTCTCTCCCTCTCCCTTCCCCCTGGGCCAAAAAAACACACAAAACAAAACAAAACAATTAAAAAATATGTAGGCATCAGATGGAGTAAGATTGAAGGTACAACCCAGCTGAGCCAAAGACCCCCAAAACACAGTAAATGTAAAGAATAAGATGCTATAACAGTGAGTTCAGCAGAACCGCAGGGAAATCCCCAGGATCACAGGCAGGGAAAACTAGGCCGTGGGGCAGCCAGCGAGGTAATTAATTAAAGGGCTGACGAAGAGCTGAACCAGTTCCCTGCTCTTCAGGGCTGCTTGCTCAGGCATTCACTCTTCAGCAAGTCTGGGAGGACACCTCTCTAGGAAATGCATGATCTGCCAGGGCCCGAGGCACCACTGAGCTAGAAAGAGAACTTCCAGCACTTCACAGGACAGGGGGCCCCAGGGGGAAACTGGGATGACGGGACATTTCCATCCTTCCCTCATGCTACCCCTTCGTGCATGTGGATTCCTTTCTTATTTGTTTGTTTTTCTTGTTGTTCTTCTCTTGATGTCAATCAGTCTGCCAGTTGCTTTTGTGCTGGCCACTAACATTTCACTATTTCTCTAGTTTGCCATTCTTCATTTTTCTGTGCTGGGGACCAGATATAAACTATATATAGATAAAAGTATAGAGAGATACAGATAAAATTCTACATTGAATAAGTATTAAAATAATAAATTTTAGAGTTATGTCCTAAGCAGTAGATGGCTTGACTTGACTTGGTGGAGAGCAATGTTCAAAATATTTCCTTCAATACTTTGTTATAGAGGATTAGAAATGGTGGCTCTAATAGTAGCTGCTTAGTTTATGCAGTAGGGCTTTTTAAATTTTTGTATAACATATTACTTTTTAAAAAAAAAAAAATCAAATGACATCTCAAAAAACCTGTAAAAACTCTTTTTTTAAAAAAAATATATATTGCCAGGACCGGTTTGGCCCAATGGATAGAGCGTCGGCTTGGGGACTAAAGGACCCCGGGTTCAATTCCGGTCAAGGGCATATACCTTGGTTGCGGGCATATCCCCAGTAGGGGGTGTGCAAGAGGCAACTGATCAATGACTCTCTCTCATTGATGTTTCGAACTCTCTATCTCTCTCCCTTCCACTCTGTAGAAAAATCAATAAAATATATTTAAAAAAAATATATATATATTATATATATATGTATATGTATATATATATATATATATATATATATATATATATAGTTTATTGATTTTTAGAGAGAGGGATAGAAAGCTAGAAACATCGATGAGAGAGAGACATCGATCAGCTGCCTCTTGCACACCCCCTACTGGGGATATGCCCGCAACCAAGATACATGCCCTTGACCAGAATCAAACCCGGGACCCTTCAGTCCCCAAGCCGACGCTCTATCCATTGAGCCAAACCGGTCTCGGCTGTAAAAACCCTTTATGTAAATAAGTCCTGTAGGTTTTAAGGGGGAAGGGGATAAAAAATAACCACTCCTGCCAATACCGGTTTGGCATCGGCCTACGGACTGAAAGGTCCCGGGTTCGATTCCAGTCAAGGACATGTACCTTGGTTGCGGGCACATCCCCAGTAGGGGGTGTGCAAGAGGCAGCTGATCGATGATTCTCTCTCATCGATGTTTCTAAGTTTCTATCTCTCTCTCTTCCTCTCTGTAAAAAATCAATAAAATATATTTATTAAAGATAATAATAACCTCTCCTAATATATATGTGCAAGCTCCCAATTGTATATATCAGACATTTTTAAGTTGGAGTGGGATCAGGGTAGGGAAGCACCTTCACAGACATATCCCAGTGACACTGCCATCATTCATTTTAATTACGTTGCTGACATTAACTTATATTTGTCAAATGTGGTTATTCAAAGAAAATGTCTGAAGTTCAGCAGAACTTCTTTGAAGAAAAGTGAAAAATTCCTTCTGTAACTTTTATCCATTACAAGGTTATACGTATTTTGTTTAAGACTAGCAAATAGTTTCTATGTTTTCTTTTTATTTAGAAATGTAGTTGCCAGTGCTGGCATATTTTCCCAATACTTTTATATGATATATCTTTTTAAGTTTAGTAATTTAGATCAGCTCATTTTTCTTTCTCTTTACACAGTAGCATTTTCTACACATGCAATGTAAAACAGAAACTTACTACCATGAAGTAGATAATTCACCTTCAGCCTTCACCTCATTTCCTGGGCCATGGCTATCTGGTTATTTCAAGTTACAGTCTGAAATTTTCGCTTGGGTAATTGCCTCCACTTTCTTCATAATAGAAGGACTCTCTGAGATGTAATACTGTGCGATTTCCTCGGAAATGAGAATAAGATTTCTTGGGTCTGAGAGCTTAAGAACAATCTTCCAAAGAATGTCTGCAAGACAACTGTGAACCTTTTTTTGATCATGGGCTACACTAAAATCTGGAGAAAGCCCTTCTCCCAGAATTGTGCAATTACATCGGTTTTGCATTCGTTTCCAGGTGTTTATGACTAACGGAGATGGCTCCCTGCCCTCAGCAGATACCTTGAGCAGTGGGGAAGTTTGTGAATCATAGAGGCAGCCTGGGTAGCAGTTCACATCCATACTGCTCCTCAGAATCTCTGAGTTCTCCTGGAGATGGATGCTCCAGAGAGCATCCCAATTAGTGCCCCAGCTGTCTTGGGCACATGACTTAACCTCTGGGCCTGTTTCCTCACTTAAAGAGTGGAGGTCATGCCAAAACCTGTTTGGCTCAGTGGTAGAGCGTCGGTCTGCAGACTGAAAGGTCCCGGGTTCGATTCCGGTCAAGGGCATGTACATTGGTTGCAGGCACATCCTCAGTAGGGGATGTGCAAGAGGCAGCTGGTCGATGTTTCTCTCTCATCGACGTTTCTAGCTCTCTATCTCTCTCCCTTCCTCTCTGTAAAAAAACCAATAAAATATATTTAAAAAATAAAAGTGGAGGTCATGTCGAAAGTGGCAGGATTGGAGAACTAAATGAGATACATGTAAAATAGCTCACAGAGCACCTGGTAATATGAGAGGCTTCTTAAATGGGCATTACCATAGCTGCTAAGCTGCACCACGTTATCATTATTATTTAAAGTAATTAACTTCATGCAACTTTTCTCTGTGCAGAGTATTAATAATTATTTCCTAAAGCTCCTTTTAATTTGGATACTTTTAAAAATATGGAAGATGAGGGGTTTTCATTAAATATAGAACATTTAATGTTGTTATGGATTTTGAGTTAGAATATTGTCATCACAGGAAACGGAGGCTAAATGTCTGAGTCAGCATCTTTTAGTTGCTTATTGCTAACTGTAAGAAAACCTTGGCCTGTTCTGTTACATTACTTCTATTGAAACAGTATGTAGGCAGACTAGGCATTTTTAATCATTTTTTTTTTTAATCCTTGGAGGTACTTATGTTGTTTTCCATCAATACTTACATGGTCAATATTGGAATGCTTTCGTGTAACCTTTATTTAAAATAACTACTTGCTTTGAACTATAATCTCTTTTGATTGACATCTAGATGGACAAGCTAACTCTAACAAAAGCAGGAAGAGGCAGTTCTGGTTTAAAAATGCCTAATAAAAGAATCTAGCTAGGTAATCCCTGAGGAGGTCTTTAATAAAAAGAGAACTTACTGACTTCCTGAGTAATTGGTAGCATAAACACAGACATTATCTTCCTTCAGGATTCCCATGGAAATGATTAATGTTCTATCCAAATAGGGTAAAGTCTTCACCAGCAGTTACAGGCAGGTCCCCCTCCCCACGCCTCCCAAGTCTTTTCAGTATGGGGGGGTAGCACCTCTTAGAAGGAAAACACAAAGGGCCAACTTGTTCCTCCTCCTGCTGGCACCGCAGTAGCAATGATGAGGAACCCTGGCAGGAGGACCCTCCATACTGCATTCGAATTTGAAGGGGCAATAAAGTCAGAAACTCCCTGGCGAGTAGACAGACTCGTTTTTCTCTTTGTGAGTCGATGACATTTTAAAAATATATTTTTTTTTATTGATTTCGGAGAGGAAAAGAGAGGGAGAGAAACAGTCTGCACACCCCCACTGGGAATCGAGCCACCAACCCAGACATGTGCCCTGACTGGGAATCACACTGCAACTTCCTGATTCATAGGTTGACACTCAACCACTGAGCCACACCAGCTGGGCTCAATGGCATTTTTGCAGTTCTCAGGGTTCACACACATTCTGTGTCAAGCAGAAGGCCTTCCGGGGCCTGGTCCTTTAGGCAGCCTAGAAACGCTTTAGATCTGACATGCCCTGGTCATCCAGAAAGCTTTAAAAGGAGTTGACACAGCAGCTTCTGCACCTAGTGCCACAGTGCTCTGCACACCACCTCTGGCCCTGGCTTGCTCCTTTGCATCATCCTTGTACACACAGTGTGAATGCATATTGGCCAGCCCCTAGCCTGAACAACTTGGTGAATGTTGGGGCAACCAGGGTCACATATCCTATCAGAGGTCAAAGGCCAATT